CTATATACAGAAAAGGACTTACTGTGCCTGGAGTGTAGCTAAAAGGATAATTTTGCACCATTGGAAGAAAACAACCATTCCAGGAGATGTAGCAAGTGAGAGAGAAGATAGAAAGTTCAGATAAAAATCATGGAAAATCGCCTCTTCCTTTACTTGCATTACAGAGTCTGTTATGCAAAAGGGCTTGAAAACATTCTGTCTTTGAAAACAAAATATCCTTGAAATATACAGGAATAGAGCATTCTTTGTTGATCCTTGAAATATACAGGAATAGAGCATTCTTTGTTGAAAGGGGAAATTGGAAGCAGCTAGTCTGCTGATTTAAATCATATGATTTGATAAACATGTATCCAGTCTTGCATGTATTTAGGCCAGGCTCCTATTGCTTCGCCTGTCCCGGGATAAAAATGGCTTAGGAACTGAGGAGATGAGAAATTGTAGTAGAACAAGGCTGCCCCTGTGTGGCCACATATAATATATTATATATATCCCAAAGGTGCTTTTTCAAGAGGCAACTGGACTTTCTTTGTTTTTCTTTGAAGACGTTTCGCTTCTCATCCAAGAAGCTTCTTCAGTTCTTCTTGGATGAGAAGCGAAACATCTTCAAGGAAAAAAAAAGAGGAAAATCCAGTTGCCTCTTGAAAAAAACATCTTTGGGACAACCATGACCTGGATGATTGAGAATCTCCATAGGCAAATATTTAGATTGGGATTGTGGAAAAGGAAACTCAAGTACTTTGGCCACCTAATGAGAAGGAAGGACTCACTGGAGAAGAGCCTGATGCTGGGAAAGATCGAGGGCAATAAAAGAAGGGGACGACAGAGAATGAGGTGGCTGGATGGAGTCACTGAAGCTGTAGGTGTGAGCTTAAATGGACTCCAGAAGATGGTAGAGGACAGGAAGGCCTGGAGGAACGTTGTCCATGGGGTCGCAATGGGTCGGACACGACTTCGCAACTAACAACAACAATGTTGGGTTACCCAATTCCTGCAACCATTCTTCATATGTTTTAGCCTCTAGGCCCCTAATCATCCCTGTTGCTCTTCTCTGTACTCTTTCGAGAGTCTCAATATCTTTTTTAAAACCATGGTGACCAAAACTGGATGCAGTATTCCAAGTGTGGCCTTACCAAGGCATTGTAAAGTGGCACTAACACTTCACGTGATCTTGATTCTATCCTTCTGTTAATGCAGCCTAGCACTGTGTTGGCTTTTTGGGTGACTGCTGGCTCATATTTAAATGATTGTCCACTATGAGAATACAAGTCGGTTCAGATTAGCCCTTGCATCCAATCAGGAGAGAACTAAAAATGTCAATTCTGAGCCTTGGAAATAACATAAGAGAATTGGGGGGTTTTTTGTGCCCACCAATGGATGAGAAGCAAATGAATGCAAATATTTAAACAGGCACCCTGACTTTGTTGGATTGATGCTGATTCTGAAGTGACAGTGGAAACACCCATTCACGGAGATTAGAAGAGAGCATTACTCAATTGTATATGGAAAGTCTCCCCCCAAAAAATTGGTCCTAGGCTAAAGAAACAAAAATATTCTGGCATGAGATGTTCACAACCAGCATGGTGGAAAGCAACCTTCATTTCTTGTCTAACTTTAGATATACTATATCAACGGAATGTAGAGCTGAGATGTCCGCTTGATCAGGAGTCTCCAGCCTTGGCAATTTTAAATTTTGTGGACTTCAACTCCCAGAATTCCCCAGCCAGCACAGAATTCTGGGAGTTGAAGTCCACGAATCTTAAAGTTGCCAATGTTGGATACCTCCACACTAGATGAATGCACTAGAATCAGAAAGTCCATGCTAGTCTCTTAGATGGGCAGGAAAACAAAGTAGCAAAAAGTTGTTTAATAAAGATACTGTAGAGATATTGTGAATATGATGCTACCCCTCTCTTAGGAAAAGACACAGACCTAAAATTATTTGACCAGCAATGTTTTGTAAATTATGACATCAAGTGGTATCAGTTTAGCTCAGAAGTTCCTAAACATCTGTCCAATATGAGATATGAACAATTGAGGAAGTAGTAGGAGACTTCAAGCTATAGATATTTAAACTCTTTGAAGTGGAATGTGTAGATTCTTGCCACTTGGAGATAATTCAGATTAACTTGGGAAGCAAATAGAAATATGCTAGTTTTTAGGATTGCAATGCTTTGGATTCAGTTCCAAAAGAGTGGCTTTGTAATATACACACGTGGAAAAATAATTCTGGTTGGCAGCTCATGAAAGCAGCTGATCGATCAGAATAGAAGATGCAGCTGCTTTAAAGAGATATGGACAGAAATTACGTTTGCACTTCCATACGTTTCATGGCACCTTTTTACAAATTATTTCCATGATGGCGCACACTCTGATGAGTCCCTTCGGCGAATGCTGGGCCAGGCTAAATGGTCCAAGGTTTTGATTCCATTTTTGCCTGCTTTAATCTTAACAGACTTTTTGTAGGAGATGACCAAGCTGAGCCCAAGGGAGGGGTCAAACACATCATCAGTCTTGAGTCCCTTTGCACCCACAAGAGATCTAAGTCCAGCCCACCTTGAATCCCATGACTTTTATCTACCATCACTTGGACTGTTAGTAGTTCAGATTCTTGTAGACGGCATCAGCATAAAATAAATCGATATTCATTTGAACCACCTGGGCTCCTGATTTCCTGCGCTTGACACTTTTGTTTTGCTTAGAGAGAGGTTTTTTTGTGTCAGAAAATGAAAAGTCATTACCATGTGACTAAGACCCCAGGAGAATCAACTCAAGGGAAGTTTGACACAGTATTTCAAAACATTTCAAGTGTGTTGAAAGCTCAACTAAAACAGAGACATACTGGGAGGAGGGTTTCTTAAATATAGAGTATTAACTCGCAGTGAAGTCATGCAGGGGGGGCTCTGGAGGAGGCAAATGCCACCAAAAATTGAAATCTTATCACAGCATCCTTTGAACAGATGCCGTGCTAGTGAAAATCTAATCTAAAATCTAATCCAAAGTGCCACCATCAACTACATAGGAAGGGATCAGCACTGGATTTGGTTTCAAAATTTTACTGTGAGTCTGTATCAAAACAAACAGTACTTCCTTAGCAGGCAACCTCAGTTTTCCCTTTCTTCCATCTGCAGTGCAGGCATAAACAATACAAAGAGAAGTACATTTGTTATACAATCTACGAAAAGAACGCTTGAATAATATATGCGCTCTGTGCTTATAAAAAGTGCAACATAAATGCCTATTGTTGTAACTTACCCCGAGGATGCTAATCGCAGAATATATTATTCTAGATATTTAATATGTTTATTAAAAATATACCACATGTGTGTAAATATATTGCATACATTCTGTCTAGAATGCTCTGGCAGGAGCGAAAAGTGCAAAGTACAGGTATTATTTTCTGTGCATTGGCTTGAATCCACCACAAATATCATGGCAATAAGAGGACACCTTTCATTTAGTGCAGACTCTGAATGGAACAGGGAAATCCCCTCGTTAGGTGTGCTTGGGTCCTGTCAGCTGCCCCCTTATGTTTGCTTGTGCTTCCTTGCTATGTGATGACAGACTGCCATGAACTGTGGAATGGGGGAATGCTTGGGGAAATGAAAGTAAGTGCTGTATCTCCTCGAGATGCTGCTTCAAGGTCACCCAGCTGGAAGGAGGGAGCTGCATACTAAACTATGCTTGGACTGTTATGAAAAATCTTACCTGGACCTGATTGGTTAAATGAGGGTGGGCAATGAGAGATAGTTAAGAGAGGGAAAAGGGACTTTGGTGCGAGATCCTCAGTTCTGGCTTTGCAATACCGCAATATACTTGACCTCTAATAAACTATACCAGTGATGGCGAACCTTTTAGAGACTGAGTGCCCAAAAACTGGCCCCACCCCTGCTTCACCACCTGCCCCGCCCTGCCCTGCCCCCCCATCCCCCACCCCGCCTGCCCGCAGGGCCACTCACCGCCTCCTGGGCCCACCACAGATCGCCCAGGCAGCCCAGCAGCACCATGGCGGCCACGCCATCTGGCCATGCCCTGCAGCATCAACTGTGTGCAATGGGGTGTGAGGGCTTGTCTACGCTGCCTGGCTGTCATGTCCTTGGCTGCTCTGCATGGGCCACGCTCGGGGGCAACTCTCCTCCAGGAGGTCTGCTGGTGAGGAGGGGATCGTGGGGGGAGGCGAGGCTGGGGCAACAGCATGTGTGCCCACAGAGAGGGCTCTGAGTGCCGCCTCTGGCACACGTGCCATAGGTTCGCTACCACTGAACTATACCTTTCTCAACAAATGGAGCCAAAGGTCATTTCTATTTAGAGTTTTAGGTGTGGTAGGAATGGCAGTTCCTTTCCTTCTATCCTCATCCATTTTAGGATCTCCCTAAAAATATGCCCCAGATGTTGAAGAACCCCCTGGAATGTGAGGAGACAAGACTTCTTTGGGGTACCCTAAAACAACCCTGATTTCTTTCTGCCTTTCATCCCATCAGCAAGAATGTTTGGGGCGAGTCTCTGCTCGAAGATATTCCCACTGTAGGGAATATATATTCCCACATGCCAGAAGAGGCCCAATGAACTATTGTACTACATATATAGGCAGTTCTCGACTTACGATGATTTGTTTAACAACCATTCAAAGTCACAACAGTGCTGAAAAAAGTGATTTATGACCACTCCGTGCATTTATGACCATCACAGTGCCCCCACCATCACGTGATTGTGATTTAGGCACTTGGCAACTGTTGTGCATCCTGGGGTCATGTGATCGCCAGGTGCAACGGCCCGGGGTCACATGATTGCCATTTCCAACCTTCCCAGCTGGCGTCTGACAAGCAGAGTCAACGGGGAAGCTAGGTTGAAAATTGCAACCGTGTGATGTTTTGCTTAACAACTGTGGCGAAAAAGTCATGAGATCGGGGGTGGTGCTTCCCTTACTGAGTGCACCATTTGACAATGAATTTGATGCTCCCAACTGGTGCTGAAATCAGGGACTATCTGTTCATCAGGAAGAAAAAAATGGCGACTGTTGGAGAACAGTTTTCCGTTTATGTGATGATGATGATTTGACTTGAGTACAAGACAGGGCTGTGTGAAGAAAAGCTACTCATTTGTTGCAACTCCAACAAGCAAGAGAGCTATTTGGCCGTTGTGCAACATTAAGCCTCCCATCATGGGATGTGTCATCCCACACGTCAAATATAGCATCTCTTATTCAGTGGCTGCGTCGATTCTGAAGACGCAGAAGAGACCAAGGGCTCTTCTTAGCAGTCCCGGCAGGATCTGGGACAAAGCTGGTATTTCATCCCAAAAGTAACTCAGTTGACCCAAACAATAAGCCACTTCCACTGAGAAAACTGGTGTGAAGTTGGGTTTGGAAGCTAAGCTGGTTAGCTCTGTGACATGACCTTATTTTCCCAACCGAAAGGCTGAAAAGCTGTAAATATGGTTGTGAATGAACCGTCGTTTAGCACGGATTACAATTTGGAGAGTAAATGAGGAAAGGAGGAAGAGGAGGTCAGTACATCGGCGACAATCCTGTCCCACCTGTCTCTCTTTACAAATTTTTGTACTGTCCATGTGCAACCCGGAGATTACAAACCAAAGAGGGGATTCTAACAGCATCGCTCCCTCTCGGGGTCCATCAGCCTCTGCAACTCATAGTTCCACCAGGTCATCGCTAGAAAGTATCTTGATGGTGATTTGACCGGGCACTTCTTCTGCTTCCTGCAGGCCTCGGCCATGAAGCTGATACTTCTGAAGATCCCGAGGGTCACTGGGTGACCCAGACAGCCGGACTTCTCCCAGGAACCTGTCAAAGAAGGCATCATGCCAGACCTAAAGTGAAGAGAAGTCAAAGAAAAAATCTACTATTGTCATTACACAAGGCCTTTTCTTAGTTACTGTATAAGGGTGTTGTCCAATGCAAAAGTCCTCGTCTAAAAGAGGTCAGATCTTTAAGATTTGCTCTGAGTCCTCTCTCCCTTTTGCCTATCCCTTTAGCCAAATTCCCTGGGGCTGAAAAACTGTTTCCTTAACAGTGTAATTGGTTTGATTTAGCTGTATTGTAATACTGAAAATCAGTTGCGTCTTGTAGATGGGATTAGTGGATGGATGGATGATTTGAAAAGATTTGAAAGCCGGAAGAAGGCCCTGCAAGAAATGACACACCAGTTCTGGATGTCTATGGAGATTGTCAGCCACCCAGGGTCCTGGTTGTCCCAAAGGTGCTTTTTCAGGAGGCAACTGGACTTTCTTGTTCTTCTTTGAAGACGTTTCGCTTCTCATCCAAGAAGCTTCTTCAGCTCTGACTGGATGATGGGGAATGGAAGGATTTATATTCCTTGCAGACAGCTGGTCATTTGCATTCTTTTAGGGAGTCGTTGAGGCCATTTGGAGGTTGGGATGAACACCCTTTGAATGGTGTGGGAGTATGAATGGATTTCCAGAAAGCATTGCAAGACTACAGGAACAGGGCTGAAAACATCCTGCAGCCAAGAAAGCTCCACACCCATTTGCACCACTCAGGGGACCTTGAAGACACAGCTAAACCTCCAAGTGGCCTCAATGACTGTCTAAAAGAACTGTTATAAGCTGAGGACTGCCTGTATCCTTTCTGGATGCGAGCAGTTTGGAGAGAATTTCTGGTGAGAATACAAGATGTAGGCAAAGGATTTAGAAGCCACCTGCTGCATTTTTCGGGATTAAAAAGTAAAAAATAAATAAATCTGAAAGACCATCTCGCGACTGCCTGCAGTGACTATTCTAACTCAAAGGGCACCCAGGGTGTCAGTACTAACAGAAAAAAAAACCTCTCTGTGGAGAAACCTGGCAGCATTCCACTCTCTCTTCCCCTTGTCAGCACCGAGGCTGCTGCCAGATTACTCCTGGCAGATTTCCCAGAGTAAAAATACAACTGTAGTTGCCTTTTTGCTTTGTAAAAAACCAGCAGTGTTTAAACTTTAAATACTGGTGTGTGATTTTAGGAAGCTGTGGCATAACAGAATAACAGAGCTGGAAGGGACCTTGGAGGTCTTCTAGTCCAACCCCTTGCTCAAGCAGGAGACCCTATACCAGTGATGGTGAACCTTTTAGAGACCGAGTGCCCAAACTGCAACCCAAAACCCACTTATGTATCGTCGGGTGCCAGGTGGGCATAGCCCATTGGGTGGGTGTGGTCCATTGGGTGGTTGTGGCCCATTGGGTGGGCGTGGCTGCGGTGGTAACGGCAGACTAGGTGGGACTAAAAAGTTCAATCAATCAATTCCAACTTTGCAAGATCTTTTTTTTTCTCACAAGAAGTTGAAATTGATTGATTGATTATTATTTTTTTTTGCACACGGCGGTGGAGGTCTAAAGCGAAAAGGTTTTATAAAACCCAGCTGAAGGCCTAGGACTAGGGCGACGGTGCGCGTGCCCACAGAGAGGGCTCTGAGTGCCGCCTCTGGCACCCGTGCCATAGGTTTGCCACCACAGCCCTATACCATTCCAAGTGGCTGTCCAATCCCTTCTTAAAAGCCTCCAGTGATGGAGCACCCACAAATTCTGGAGGCAAGTCGTTCCACTGATTAATTGTTCTGACTGCCAGGAAATTTCTCCTTAGTTCTAGTTTGCTTCTCTCTTTGATTAGTTTCCATCCATTGTTTCTTGTCCTGCCTTCTGGTGCTTTGGAGAATATGCTGACCCCCTCTTCCTTTGTGGCAGCCCCTCAAATATTGGAACACTGCTGTCATTATTACCTCTAGTCCTTCTTTTCATTAAACGAGACATACCCAGTTCTTGCAATTCAGCTTGCCGGATAGATTGGATTGAGAGAAACTGATGATCCTAAATCACCTGTGTTTCCAGATCAAAGGCTGGATTTAAATCTGGGTTCCTCCCTATATACCTGATCCTGATCCAAGTTCTTGTCCATGCCACCATGGGTGGCAAGCAAAATTAATAAATAAGATTGTCAGGTCCCTATCGGAACGCTGCCATTAGCAAAGGGAGGGGGGAGCACGCGCTATTGTGGATTGAGGATGTTCCTGCATTGTTTCTACTTTCACTTTGATGTATCTACATGGGAATTAGTAAGGGGGGGAAATCCTCAGAGCCATCTGTTTTAACTCCTGCAGGTTGGCAAGAATGAGGTGTTAGAGACATGGCCAGTTATCACCTATAGAATGTGAAGGATATGTGAATATAATGTATGTTCTTATTTAGGGTTTTTAATTTTGTGTAGTGTGCACTGTGGACTGCAGTTAATTTCACTGTGAGTTACACATTGACAATAATTCTATTCTATTCTATTCTATTCTATTCTGTTCTGTTCTGTTCTGTTCTGTTCTGTTCTGTTCCTTTCCATTCCATTCCATTCCATTCCATTCTATATAAAGATTCTATTCTATTCTATTCTATTCTATTCTATTCTATTCTATTCTATTCTATTCTATTCTATTCTATTCTATTCCACATTTTCTATTCTATTCTATTCTATTCTATTCTATTCTATTCTATTCTATTCTATTCTATTCCATTCCGTTCTACTCCATTCCATTCTATATAAAGATTCTATTCTATTCTATTCTATTCTATTCTATTCTATTCTATTCTATTCTATTCTATTCTATTCTATTCTATTCTGGTTGAAGTTCTCACAACATCTTCATGCCAGCAGATTGGCTCCTGAAGGACTGGGGCATTGGGGTGGGGCTGAAGAAACGGGGCTTTTAGCTTAATGCTTTTGCGCGGGAACTTCAGATCCCTCCTTTTTTCTCTACAATCAGTTTCTCTCAGTAAAAGATCTTCGTTGAAAGAATGCCTGTTTCCTGAGTTGTGCTTTCCTGAGGGGATAGCTGAGACAGGACCTTACAAAAAATAAATATATATTATTAAACACAACACTGGTGCAAATACAGATCGCAGGGATTCTCTTACCTGGACGATAATGGGGCTGTCAACCTTCCTTTTGTAGAAAACAGCCTGGGTGTTGAAAAGAGCGGCCCCCGTGCTCTTCTGAGAGGGAGACTGAACCTTGCCGTTCTCACACTTAATAATTATATAAATGTTGGTTTCTGAAAAAGTACATTTATCGATTAGCATTTTTGGAGACTCCTGGTATTTATAAAAAACATTACAGACAGTCTTCGACTTACGACCACAATCGAGCCCAAAATTTCTGTTGCTAAGTGAGACATTTGTTAAGTGACTTTTGTCCCATTTTACAACTCTTCTCGCCACACTTGTTAAGGGAATCACTGCAGTTGTTAAATTGGTAACACGGTTGTTAAGTGAATCTGGCTTTCCCTGTTGACTTTGCTTGTCAGACGGTCGTAAAAGAGGATCGCATGACCCCAGGACACTGCAACCGTCATAAATATGAGTCAGTTGTCAAGCATCCAAATGTAAATCACATGACCGTGGGGATGCTGCAACGGTCATAAGTGTGAAAAATGGCCATATGACTTTTTCCAGTGCTGTTTTAACTTTGAACAGTCATTAAATGAACTGTTGTAAATTGAGGATTATCTGTATTCTACTTTCCACCTTTCTACTTTTTTCCTGGATAAAAGATTTGCCTGCAACTAACCCTTCCCTCACTCTACACATGAAGGAGGCAATGCTACAAATAAATATAGACTCACTGTCACACCAAAAGAACCTTCATCATCACAATCAAATCAAAAGAGACTCTCCACTTGATTTCCTGGGCAGAGTAACTAATCCACTGTCATAGTAATAATAATAATAATAATAATAATAATAATAATAATAATAATAATAATAATAATAATAATAATAGTAGTAGTAGTAGTAGTAATAGTAATTTTAATAGTAATGATAGCAACCTGTGTCAACCATCAGCACCAGCCAATTTGAATGTTCAGTTGACTGAGGTTCATGTTTAATGAATAAAAGATAATAATAATAATAATAATAATGATGATGATGATGATGATGATGATGATGATGATGATGATGATGATGATGATAGAAGGGACCTTGGAGGTCATCAAGTCCAACCCCCTGCTCAGGCAGGAAACCCTATTCCATTTCAGACAAATGGCTGTCCAGTCTCTTCTTAAAAACCTCCAGTGTTGGAGCATTCACCGCTTCTGGAGGCAGGTTGTTCCACTGGTTAATTGTTCTAACTGTCAGGAAATTTCTCTCTAGTTCCAGGTTGCTTCTCTCCTTGATCAGTTTCCATCCCTTGCTTCTCGTCCTGCCTTCAGGCGCTTTGGAGAATAGCTTGACTCCCTCTTCTTTGGGGCAGCCCCTGAGATACTGGAACACTGCTATCATGTCCCCCCTCGTCCTTCTCTTCATTAAACTAGACATACCCAATTCCAGCAGCCGTTCCTTATATGCTTTGGCCTCCAGTCCCCTAATCATCCTTGTTGCTTAGTTCATACCAACAGCTTAACACGAGACGCGTTGGATTTCTTCCCTGGAGTAAATGGTTATTCTAGGGAAGGTTCTCGACACATTAAAAATATGAAGCATGTGTTGTGGTGATTTGCACAGCCATTCAGACAATATGCATTCTATAGGTAATCCTTGACTTGCAACCATTCATTTAGTAATGGTTCAAATTACAAGGACACTGAAAAAAGTGATTTATGACCCTTTTTCACACTGATGACCTTTCCAGCATCCTTGTGGTCATGTGATCCAAATCCAGATGTTTGGCAACTGGCATGTATGGATGACAGTTGCAGTGTCCCAAGGCCATGGGGTCATCTTTTATGACAGTCTGACAAGCGATGGGGAAGTCAGATTTGCCTAACAGCCGTGTTACAAACTTAAACAACTGCAGTGATTCACTCAAGAACTGTGGTAAGGCAATAAAGTGGAGCAAAACTCACATAACACAGTCTCACTTAGCAACAGAAATTTTGGGCTCAATTGTGGTCATAAGCCAAGGACTACCTATACGTTCCATGTCTAGGAATTCTATTACTTCACAAAGAATTCCGGGCATATGTTGCGCATATGGAATAGATTCCTTGAATGGTTCCAGAGCTAATTAGAATAGTCTCTTCTTAAGTCCCACAAAATAAGGCAAAGTGAAAACCACACAGTGGGATCAGCTTGATGGAGTGTGCCCAGCTCAGCTACATATGTCATATTTTCTCCCTTCCATTGCATTAAAAAGGGCCATTTTAATATCCGGAGAGGCTAAACACATAGCACCCAGACTTATATATACAAAAATGTTGCTTCAGTGCCTGCAAATATTGGAGGGACTGCAAAACACAAGAATTCAGTTGCAGGAAAAGGCTCCATGGGGCCTTTTTCCAACAACAACAACAAAAAAAATTAGACTTTGTGTGTTATCAATGGCTCGCTTGTCCTACACCCCACTTATGATCAAAACACTCTGATTAATTGTGTTGAGAGACTCAGCCCATGGTAATTGACATACGGTGATTAATATATGGAGAGTTACTGTCAACCTTTACTAATTGCCTGCTTAAATAACAACAGGGGCTTGTGTTAATCATAACCTGGGAGAGGAGGAGGCCAAAGAAATTATGATGAGAGCTGAAAAAAAATATAACAGAATAACAGACTTTGGAGGGACCTTGGAGATCTTCTAGTCCAATCCCCTTGCTCAAGGAGGAGACAAATGACTCTCCAAAACCCCCAGGGATGGAGCACTCACAACTTTGGAAGCAACCCATCCCACTGATTGTTCTCACTGTCAGGAAATTTACTTCTAGGTTGGCTTTCTCTTTGATAAGTTTCCATCCGTTGCTTCTTGTCCTGCCTTTAGGTGCAAAGTTGAAAGTTGTGCTTTTTATTGTGGAGATGGGTGTGGTCCAAAACAAGGGGCTATTTTTCACTCAGCAAATCAGTTTTGTAAATCTATACAATCAAGACAAGTTTGCTGTGCTCTATAAATACCGAGATTTATAGACTTAACATAGACTCAAAATGCCCATATTAATGCATGTCTATTTTTATATTGTCAATAAATGTGAATTCCACTCTTGACCTCAAGGAACAAATCTTATAATGGATTTTGGAGCATGACATCTCAAAGTGAAAGGCTGTAATTACCAATAAAGTCCATCAGAACGTTTTCCTTCATAGGTTTCTTTGGATATGTCTCTTACAACAATCTAGATTTACAGATCTAACTATACATTATGGTAATTTTCAGCCAGCTATTTCTAAGACAGTCTGTCAATCATCATAAACAACTGTTGTCTTGGCAACATATAGCCATTTGTAACCGATTCTGGATTTAGCCATACACTTAATATGATTCCTAGAAGCAAAAGGATTATTTTTATGTCCCAGCAAATGTTGGTTTCATCCAGGTAACCATAGGTACAACATATGTCCCAAGGAGACCAACGTGGACCAGCAAACATAACCTTTCCATCAATCAATCAGAACAGAACTGGAAGGAACCTTGGAGGTCTTCTAGTCCAACCCCCTGCTCAAGCAGAAGACCCTATACCATTTCAGACAAGTGGCTATCTGATCTCTTCTTAAAGATCTCCAGGGATGAAACACCCACAACTTCTGAAGGGAATCTGTTCCACTGGTTAATTGTTCTCATTGTCAGGAAATGTCTCCTTAGTTCTATAAATAATAATGATGATGATGATGATGATAATAAAGTTGGAAGGGATCTTGAAGGTCATCTAGTCCAATCCCCTGCTCAGGCAGGAAACCCTACACCATTTCAGACAAATGGCTGTCCAGTCTCTTCTTAAAAACTTCCAGTGTTGGAGCATTCACAACTTCTAGAGACAGGTTGTTCCACTGGTTAATTGTTCTAACTGCCAGGAAGTTTCTCCTTAGTTCTAGGTTGCTTCTCTCCTTGATTAGTTTCCATCCGTTGCTTCTTGTCCTGCCTTCAGGCGCTTTGGAGAATAGCTTGACTCCCTCCTCTTTGTGGCAGCCCCTGAGATATTGGAAGACTGCTATCATGTCCCCCCTCGTTCTTCTCTTCATTAAACTAGACATACCCAATTCCAGCAGCCTTTCCTTATATGCTTTGGCCTCCAGTCCCCTAATCATCTTTGTTGCTCTAGGTTGGTTCTCTCCTTGATTAGTTTCCATCAGTGTTGGAGCATTCACCGCTTCTGGAGGCAGGTTGTTCCACTGGTTAATTGTTCTAACTGCCAGGAAGTTTCTCCTTAGTTCTAGGTTGCTTCTCTCCTTGATTAGTTTCCATCCGTTGCTCCTTGTTCTGCCTTCAGGCGCTTTGGAGAATAGTTTGACTCCCTCCTCTTTGTGGCAGCCCCTGAGATATTGGAAGACTGCTATCATGTCCCCCCCTCGTCCTTCTTTTCATTAAACTAGACATACCCAATTCCAGCAACCTTATATGTTCCTTATATGTTTTAGCCTCCAGTCCCCTGATCATCTTTGCTGCTCTAGGTTGGTTCTCTCCTTGATTAGTTTCCATCCATTGTTTCTTATTTTGCTTTCTGGTGCTTTGGAGAATAGGTTGACCCCCTCTTCTTTGTGGCAGCCCCTCAAATATTGGAACACTGTTATCATGTCACCCCAGTCCTTCTTCTCTCTAGACTAGCCATGCCCAATTCCTGCAACCATTCTTCATATATTTTAAGAACGATTGCAGGGATTGGATATGGCTAGTCTAGAGAAAAGACTCACTTTGGGATCCAGAAAAAAAACTGGTTTTCCCAGTGGACTGGACTGGTTTAAAAAAAAATGGGAATATGTAAAGGAAAACATTCCTCAATATCAGAAATGTTGTCCCAATTAGAAGACAGGCTGTGAAAAGCACATATTTTTCAAGGACTGGGCGAGGAAATTGGCACACTCTCTCATCTCTAATGAACAGGATCCAATTTCCTTTATCTAACAGATTAGAAACAAGTTGAGTTTGGCAGCCTCTGTTTCCTCAACGGCGTGTCATGAAACAACATTGTTCCTTGGATATTTTGAGCCAGAAATAATGGTAGGAATGTGCCGAGCGGAATGAATGCAATTTGTTTTATTCTCTGTGCTGTTAGGCAAGTAGCTGAGTAGATGTCCCCTGGGATGACATTCTTCCCTTGGGATTTAATTCAAGTATAAGGAACTAGGG